TCAGTTTCACTGAAATTCTAGACCTTAGACACAAGAGTGTATCTGCTGACATCTCACCATTAAATCAGCTTCAGGGATTAAGAACAACAACAGCAACAAAAAAATGGCACACTAAAAAGAAGAAGTATCCTACCTATAGCCTCAAGATTGTATGCAGCCCATCAGAACAATTTATCAAACCCAATCTTTGTTCTGTAAGTCAGGAGTCTGGGGAAAAGAGCTGGCCATCAGCCAGATTAATTGCTCTAGATGTCTGCTCACCAAGGGCTGCCAAAGGATTTCCACTTTTCTCCCACCCCACCACATAACTTGAACTGTCCTCTTAAATGACTAAAAGGTAAGTATTTCATACCACAGAAAACATATCTGAATCACACAAAAGCAGTATGCAGGTTGTCCACATGACAACATTTCTCGTAAGCTTGTGGGGTGTCACACAGCACCCAAGCAAGGAGAGGAGTTTCTGCCTACATGGAAGAGAAGAGCTTGACCCCCGAGTTTCCCCATTAGATGCTACAAGACTTGCTAAGGACAAGCTGACATTTAATTGTCTTCAGAAAAGAGGAAGAAAAATTGAGAGTTGCAACCTACTTGTGACTGAGTTTGAAGAAGTAATTCCATTCAAAAAGGTTTTTTTGAGTCTGACCTGATTTTTCCTGAGTTTCACACCCTTTTAACAAACAGCTGAGGTTGAAGCTCATGTTACCAGTGTTTAGGAGTCTATTTTTTGAAGACTACTTTTCAGTAGCATTCTTCATCTCCAAAACTGGGTAGGTCTTTAAAAATAAACTTCATAGGAATACAGTGAAAAGGAAATAGTACAGAAGCACAAAAATAGACTCAGGAGTCCAATAACAAACTATAAATCATTCATTTCCATCACACATTGACTTGCAGCAACATTTCTGCTTATACCAACAAAAGCAGTTCAGAACATTTAGGGGTAGGTTCTTTCCTTCTAAACAGAAAGCATTTTAACTTGTTCCCAAAACAAAGAAATCACAGGTAACCAAGGTTTAAGTTACCTCTCTTGGGTTAGACATATTTCAGAGCTATCTTGCTGTGCCTGACAGAAAGTTTGTCCAAGTCCCTTGGGAACTCAAGGCAGACCTCAAAAAATCTTGGGTCCTACTCCTGGGATGTCTTCTGCAGACCCACAGTACTCCTTATTGAAATACATTAAGTTTGTATCAAGAAGTTAAAGACAAGAAGGAGTTGAAATAGGGTAGGCAGGGGAAGGAGTATAAAAAAAAAATTGAAGATTACCATGGCTAAAAAGGAACACAAACTGCATCTGCAGCTATTGCAGGCTTGCTCCTGCTACCCTCAGCCCAGTAAATTAGCTTGATGCTAGGATTTTTTTCTTGTAATTAACACAGTTCAGACTACTTAGGTAGCCTCCGAACTGCATTTAATGCTTAATCAATGTATTAATCAGAAACACCCATCATGTGGCTCCAAAAATGTAAATATAATTACATAAGAGAATAACTTAGAAAAACAGATAGCCCACATTATCTCCAGCAAAGATTCATTGGTTCTAGTGAAGAAATATATAACATAAAGTAATATATCCAAATCATTTTATCATAATGATAAATCATAGGAGTTTCCTTTGGTTCAAGACAGCTATAAAAGTTGTTTTGACTGAAAAGAGAAAAATAACCATCATTAAAAATTCTAATTAGCATGAGTAATATATGAACTGATTCAATACAGAAAATACAGTTTAATTCTATGGTAAGAATTTGGTCAAAAATACACCTGTCAAAAAAGGACTTCTAATAATGTGAAATTTATCTTTACTTTATCAAAGTTTACTATTAATATGCCCAATTTCTAATATCACCAGATAGAAAAATCTTCTCTATAGCTAATCCAGGTTCATAGCCCAACTTGCTCCCTCATAGAATCCTTCAAGGACAATCTCACCATGTTACTTGAGGAAAAAATAAACATCAAAACTGTGAAACCATCCAGTTAATAATACAGAATCAACAGCTCATAAGACAAACCCTTATTTAAAAATATAATGTCAACATGTTTGTTTTCCTTAACAACCTCAACTGCTCTGTAATTTTTCAGGGGACCTATACAGTTGACATCTCAATTGGAAAAAAAGTGGGCAGAGACACCTGTAGACCATTTCAAGGTATAATAAAGTATAGGGCTAGTAGTCCTAAGACAGGGATCTCCCCCAGTTATCAGAAGACCCAAAGCACATTGCAAATGGTGAGATATTCAACAGAAAGAACTGTAAGGTTCAGGTATTCAGGCACCTTCTCTCCCACTTCCTCCCTGGGCTGAGAGAAAATTTTTGATTTTGGGACACTGGAAAATTCAGTATTATAGGCAAAGTCTGTTTGAAAAAAAATTCAGGTTTAAAATACAACTTTTCCTTGAGCTCTGGCAATTGTATTGCTATCAACAGAGTTTCTACCACAATAGTGTCAGCACAGTACAGATTTTTAAATACTTACTGGGTCAAGAAATCAAGCCTATCTATTGAGAAAAAAAGTGTAGATTTACATTAAGAAACATTGCTTATAAGTTACATGCTATAGTCTGGCTATTGTCCTGCATTCGTTGTGCACCACAAACTCACCACCAATCTCAGTACTAAGGAAACTGAGATTTCATTATCAGCACTGACTAGACAGTATTTGTGCAGAACAAAAAGTCAGATTCATTATAAGGAATAAATAAATATTTAATAATAATAATAATAATAATAATAATAATAATAATAATAATAATTTTTAAAATTCTAGATTAGTCCTTAGAAGCAAAATATAGCAAGCAGTATATTACATGTCAGTTTGGAAAGCAGGGTGTAGCATCCACGTTAGGTTCTAGAGAATTAGAGCAGGGACCTGTTCTGCACAGTGGGAGACCAGAAGTAATCCTCCAGTCATAGAAAGGATTGCACAATAGTTAAGTTTTTATTAACAGTAGCTGTGGGCTCACCTTGTACACCTATCTTGGAAGAGCAAAGTCTCAAATCTTAGTATAGGCAGAATTAAGGAGAAAGCCTTGAAAAAACTAACAGTTCAAGGTACAATCAACACTATCACTCACTTACATACTCATAATATTAATGTGTAATCCCTTGAGTAGATTTTTCCCTTGAGTGCTTTCAAAAATCTCCTAATCTGTGAGAGTGCTCCCACATTTATGCCAGTTGTATTAATTAAGCAGTGGAATAGAACTCTTCACATCTCATTTTATCTATCTTTCAAGTTGAAAGATGTGTATTCTGTCGCTGCTGTTTTAAAAAATAATAATAATAGCAATAGTAATAATAAGAATTTTAAAAAAGAGAGAAAGAAGAATTTCTCCAAAATGTGTATAAATGGTTAAGCATTACACATTACTAACTTAAAGCAATTCTGTCCATGAATCAAAATACTTCTTTGAAGCCTCCATGAGAATAAGTTTAATTAAGCTACCTGAGTAAACTATTGTTTTTCTTATTGTTTAAAATAAAATCTAATAAATAAACCTAGGATTAAACTGTTCTTAAGTAATTTCGTTTCCCAGGCATGCAAATAAAACCTATCACCAAAATCAGCATATATTTTCACTCCTCAGGAGCAGCCAAGATACTCTGCTAAACTTCATGCTGCACAATCAAAAAGCTTAGCATAAGCTCATACACTCTCTGTACAAGGTGAACTACATGCTACTATAAACATATTTCTTGGTTCCTGTCTCCTACCAGCAGCCAGTGGAGTGACAAATAACAAACTCTTCAGGAGCATATCTATCCTTTTAAGCAGAAATGGGAGCTAACATAACAACACAGCCAGGAGATTGAAAACAGTATCTACAGTAGGAGGGCAAAGAAGAGGAAGAAAAATGGAAGTGGGTGGACAGCAGCTGCACAGCGATAGAAAATGGAAGGGGTGGGAAGGCAAAAATGAGAAGATTAATAGGGAAGGAGACAAACGAGATGTGAAAAGAGACAGAAGACAAAATTAACAAGAGTTAGTCTAAAACAGCACTTCTTAAATCCTGGCTCAGTCAAAGGAAATTACAAAGTCAGCCTGACAGGAAGAGTAAGTAAATCACAACGCTGCTGTCAGTGTCTCACTTCTTGAGTGGTGTTGTCAAGAGCCAGTCCTGGCTGGGAAGTACTGGCCCACTGCGTGGCTGGGACAGTGCTCAATGCCTTCGTTAGCTACATGTCCCATGAACAGCTGCTTCAGAGAGTAAGCACCATTTATTGGGAATGGGAAAAGAGAGGAAAGGGTAATCACCAATGGGCTCTACTGGAAATGAGATCAAGCCTTTATTAGCTAGTCCACACACTAAAACAGCTTCCCCACAAGTCACACTTAATCGGAAGCATTAGGAGCATTAGGAAAGCAGACAAGCATTTTGGTAAACAGAGTCACAAAACCTTATCAGCAATCGAGGTGAACTACTGTGCAAAGATACACAAATTACATAAAAAATTATATCTATCATGGACAAAAAGTTTCCATCCAATATTTTTCAAAAATTCCTGAAATTGTAACAGATAAAGAAAGAAAACTCTTGATAGGCAACACATGCAATGCAGGAGAACTGTGATGTTTAGGGAAGTGCTCCAAGGTACAGCTGCAATGCTTTAACATATTTTAATTCATTAAAGACATTAGCCACATAAAATAATGATGCCCTTATAATCTGCAATATCTTGGCCTTTATAGTCAGTCCATACAGAATCACTGTGGAAAAGCAAGATTCCCATTCTAACTGACCTCCAAAACTCAAACATAGAAGAGACTGCACGTATGGATGGACATAATTGCCACCCTGCCCCTGAGTTTATTCAATAACACAAATAAAAATTAAATCATGCTTTACAGGTTTTTATAACTGAATATAGCCTTCCATTAATCTGATGTACAACATGTCATTAGCTCAAAAGGAGCCTAGGAGGAAGTTAAAGGCCAATTTTTACTGAGAAACACTACCAAAAATGCAGAAAATGTTTGCATGAGCTGGAAACATACCGTGAATGTCTCTTCTGTACTTCTTTTCCTTTGTACTGGAGCAACTGGAAATTCAAGAAGTGACTTGACCGTCTTCCTTTTGGCTTTTTCCATTTGAATGTTAGTAAAATAGTTGACAGCAGCAAACTCAATCAGAGCAGAGAACACAAAGGCAAAGCAAACCGCTATGAACCAGTCCATGGCAGTAGCATAGGATACTTTTGGAAGTGAATGTCTTGCACTGATGCTCAGTGTCGTCATTGTCAACACTGTGGTTATCCCTTCAAAAAAATAAAGCAAAAGAACTGTAGAATCGAAGTAAAACAAAGCAAGAACTGGCAAGCACCTTCAAAGAAAGAACTCTAAATCACATGTGAGTCTTCCTCTGCTGCTTGTGAATATTGCATTAGATTAAAGTCATGGCAAGTATCACATGTCTATGAGCAGCTAAGTCCACAAACAGTTTACCTCTCTTTAAAGGAGGCACAAAAAACCATGACTTCAGCAGATCATCTACATGATCATATGAAGAAAACACAGAAGCCTTCATTTCATATGTTTTTCACATTAAGTTCAGTATAATTTTTTTACAAGTTATTTTCTAAATATTTGAATAAGATTTAAGTTGTTAAATTGGGGAGTACTCCTCAGACTACAACAAAAACATGACTTCACCTCTAAATTGTTCTGAATGCCACCTATTATTCTGCATCTGTGCCTCTGATTACACTTGTAATCCAGGAAACACTAAATCATGACAAATTATTTTGGTGCTAAAGAAGCATATTATGCTAAAAACTCTGTTAGTTAAGAAACCATCAGGGTTTTTTACAACCTTCTGCTACTAGTCAGCCAATGAAATTTAATTAGAGTTTCATCTTCTGAAAAAACAACTTTAAGCATGAATAGTGAACTCAAAAGATGGCCATCTCATGGTAGTGCTTCAAATGCAAACACATGCTGTATAAAAACTAATTAATGGAGTCTTTCTTTTTTTTCATCCAAAATATCCCATATCATAGAAATGTAAAACCCAAGTATGTGATGAACACTGCATAAATCCTAGCATGAGAATCTCAATTATGAGTGTCTAAAAATAGAGATTTCTTTACTGTTATGAAAAGAACACTGTACTCATTCTAACTCAAGATGCAATTCTTATGCTCAGAAGAATTTAAACTCATTAAGAATATGTTTTTCTCACATCCCTATTTGCTAAATGGTAGTATTCCATCAAGGTAATATAATTTTAAAAAGCTTCTCTACACACTGCCATACAGAGACATGCTCACAATGAAATCAGTCCTTCCTTCTAAAGAAGAAAAATGGAAAAAGTGTAATAGTCAGGTCATGACAGCTCAAAGGATTTCTCAGAGTTTTCAGGAGGAATAAAAAATCAGGAGGATAAAAAATACAGATGAAAGCTCACAAAACCTTCTTCAGTGGGAAGGTGTTGAAATCCACACCACTGAAAATGTTTAAGTCTGAGAAAAAAAAATATGGAAAGTTGGTTGTTTGGGTTTTGTTTATTTTCCTGGAGGAGGCCCATCTCTGTTCAGCCCTATCCTTTCTAAGGACTTGAGTGGACCTTTGTCCACTTCAAGCAAAAACTTTGCCCAAATTGTTTCTAAAAACGTTTGATTAATAGAATCAAAAATAGGATCAAGACCAAATATTAACCAAAAACAAAGAGGATATGTTAGTCTGTGAGAGTATTCGTTTACTGACAGACTTTATCAGATTCTTCTCTATTAAATCATTCTTCTGCAAGACTTGGAGCTGCCAGTACAACTGCCCCTATCACTATCACTCTTGCCGGCATCTAGCAGTCTACTGAGAGGCTTGTAGTATAATATGCTCTTCCTGCTTTAGGCAGCTTTTAAAATGTTTTTATCCTATTTCTTTGTTAGGAAAAATATTTCCATTTAGATTCATGCACTTGTCTTCCACTGAAGATTTTCTATTATTTTCACTGTGCCATCTCATTCAAGCTGTATTTTGAAAAGATCAATTTTAATATCTTGTGATCATTTTGCCTTTGTAATTCATTTTCATGATGGCAGTGGTAGAAAGGAAAGAAAAGCACTAAATATGAAATTACAGTAACAGAATCTAAGCCTTATTCATAGCAAGCTTCCACTGATGACACAGATACCTCCTAACATGACATTGGAACATCTCACACACTCCACATCAATTTAATTTACAAGTATTCTGTAAACCTTGAGTTTGAGTACTTACACTACTCTCCACTGGAGGATAAATCTGATCTGGATGTAGACTAAGGACTTGAGTGTATTACTCAGAGCCAGGTCTTTCCAGTTTGCTCCCTCAAGCAGGTAGAATCCCTAGAGCTGAGCAGCCATTTGCCACAGGTTACCATCCCATCCTTCTGATTATATGTTCCAAGTTTCTCTTCAGATTCCAAGGATTCATTCAACCACATTCTTCATACATCAATAGCAAGATTCTCTCTGAATTTAAATTATTCCCTTGTTTCTGAAATAGCATGGAGTATACCCCAAGGCACTGAAAAGGCCTATTCTAGTGAGAATTATTAAAAGAGCAAGTACAAGAAAAAGTTTAAAAAAGGAAATAATTACCAAATACAGTTCTAGCAGGAACTGATTCCTTATTTATCCAAAATGAAACTTGAGAGAGGATCACGGTCATAATGCATGGGATGTAGGTCTGAATCATAAAATAACCCATTTTCCGTCTCAGATGGAAATAAACTGTCATAACAATATATTCACCTAAAAAAAAAATTCTCTGTGTAAAAATTTGTGTTTCAGACTCTCAAGTAGGATTGTTTAAGGTGATGCTATTCACATAATTTAATATGTACAGAGAGATATCTTCTTTAGAACAAGAATCAATTCAGTTTTTTTTTTTTTAAATCCCAGAAACAGTAGGTTCTTACAAGAAAGTTGATATCAAAAATGCTATAATACAACTAATATTGGATTACATTTTACAGTATAAGCATGATTTTAAAAATCCTTTTGATGGCTGTTGGAGAAGAGAATCCCAAGACACAATTTATCTACCTTCCAGTATCCATAACATTATGGTACCTACCTGCTGAATAAAACAACAACAATGATACACATCAAACGTTATGCAAGCATCTCAACATTTTGCTAGGTTTATAAGTCAGCCCCACTATGACAATGAAACAAATGCAAAAATCATTGAGAAGAATTCAAAATACTCTAAATTTATCTAAAATGCTATCATTCATATTAAGCAAATAGACCAAAAAATCAGTTTTACCATAAACTCAATAAACTGTCTAAATAAAGCACAACAGAATAAGCCTTATGGGACAGCAAGTAATTTTTTTTTTATTAACTCATAATAATCTATATGCTGAGAAGTAAATTCCTAGTGAATTGCAAAATGCCATTTTATCTTTGAGTAAAACATCCATAGAGCAATACATCAAATATATTTGTTTTATTGGTTTCATTTTGACTATCTTACAACACCCAAACCTGCTGATGCTTAGAAAATGATTCCAAATTTTAAAAATATTTTGGGAATGTGCTTGTTTATCACCACACTGCTCATCAGTGATACTTCACTCATTTTGGATGCCTGTAGTTGCCATTTGCCTTATTTCTTACAGAACAAATCAGCAGAAGTATCTATTGTGACTAGCATATTTGTGTCTACCCTTATCTGACTAGAGGGTTTTTATGGTTTTAATAACCCATTCTGTATGCTGTACTTCTATCCTGAGCTGTTTGCACCACCAAACAAAGGAAGTCTTTTGCACATAATGTGGATACAGTGCTGAGAAATTACTTCCTTACCCAGGCATCCTCTTGACTCTTCAAACTGCATTTTAAGCAGTGATTAAATGCTCATTTTGTCCCTTGGAGTAATGATCTCATTCCAGCTTTCTGAAAGACTGTCGCAATCTACTGTAATGAATCCACAAATGTAAACCTCAAGGACAGAAACCTAATTCAGATTTACACTCTCAATCCTTAATACATACCCTATGACATTCAGTAGAGTAAAACTTACAGGAAGAGAAAGAAAAAAAGCTTTGGGCAATGTTACAGGTTAGTTTTACCTCAAGTTGATTTTTACTGACATGATTCCTACCTGTAATAGATTTTATAGTTTCAGAGGATACCGTATGCCCAAGCAGGTCATACTGAACTAAACTGGAAGACTCCTCAGGAACTTCCACTGACTTCTCAGGTCCTTTTGTCCAGGTATAAATCATTTCACTCTTTGGATATGCATCTACAACACAGCATCAGTTTGCATAAATAGGAAATTTTTCTCATGCCTTACTAAGAACCAAAACCAAACCTACTGAAACCAAACAGTAAAACACAGATGAATGATGTCAGAAGATACTCTTCATGTTAAGTTACCCCCAAAAAGCCACCCTTGGAGTACAATAAATAAGAGCTGAGTTTATATGTCAAGTGTCACACATAAATTCACTTCACATATGAATGTGAAGACTAAACGCAAATCCCCTCTGAATCAGCCCTTTCTGGGCATGCAAAGTTTAATTTAGCAATTTCCAACTAAAATTTTACTATTAAAATATACTAATCTAAAAAAAAAGAAGAGTATGTACAAGGAGGACATATTTTGAAGATTGGGTGTACATTACTTTACAGAAAAGGATGATTATACTAAAAATGGCAACATTTTAAACTTCTGCTTAAAATATTTGCCAGAAACCATAGGTCAGTAAAAAAATTCACAATGGCCCCAAAATAAGCACATACAAAGAAACATTTTACATTTAATGCAAAAGACATTTCTTAGGGCTAGCATTCAATCCCTACACAGTCCAAACTCCTGTTAAAATTGAATCAAATCAGTCTTACATTTGAAATTGCTACAGATTATTTCAAGTTTCACTGTGGGAAATATCAAACTAGTGTTCAGCAATTCCTTCTAGGCGGTGATTCTGTCTCAAGACCTGTTACTGTGAATGAGCCCCCACTATCAAAGAACCCCTATCATACAGCTCATACCAAAGACAAATCTTGCAGCACCTGGTCTCCACTGATGAAAAATCGTATTAGAGGTGTGTCTCTCATGCCCCCATTCAGGTTGACTATCCAGCTGTATAAGCTAAATTTATGCAATGGAAAACCTCTGAAGGTTCTCCAGCGATTTCTCACTTCAGAGCTCTGGGGTCAAGGTAAACAGATTAATGTCCAGCCATTGGAGGGTGTAAAGCAGAGAAGTCAATGACCAAGAAGGCTTAAAAGAATAACAAGATAGTTAATGGAGTGCATCAACCATTTCCAGAGGGTCTCAGAGGTCTCTGGTTTGGATTCACATCAGGAAACCATAGCTACCCTCTCTGGTTTGTTATGCAGAAATCCCAAACTGTTCCTCTATCCAAAATTTGCGTATTTTTCAAAAATGTACATCTGACTTCAAAGCAGAAAAATCATCTGCACTAAGATTTTTCTCATCAGTTAAAAAGTTATTTATTTAGTCTAAACTTGTCATGCAGACTCCTCTTACAGGCCAGCAGACAATTACAACTAGATGTCAAATCTCTGCACATAACCTTCACCTCTTTCTTAAGATGCCAATGTGCTTCCACTACCTGTAGAAAGAGTGAGCTAACCTGCTTCCCTAGGTGTCTCTTGTGGCTGTTTTAAATTAAGTTTGTTTTCTCCAAAGTACCTCTCATTTCACTGAGTAACCAATTCCTCCCCAAGAACCAAGAAAAACTTCATATTTCAAGCAACTGTGTATCCAGAATAGTGGGGTTTAACATAATAGCTGAATCACCACCTCCTTTTTAATTCTCTGGGTTTAATTTTTGACATCCTAAATTGAAGTTCTGAGGAACTTAACAGGAGTTTTGTCTGCATAGAGATTGCATATCAAGACATAACTGTATAAATTCAGAAAGTCTAGTAACTGCTCAAAATTTAATTCTACTATTTAAATTCCGTAGTTACAAGAAATTTGATAATTGCAACTTACAACTCCCAAATTTGAGAGGACAAGCATGACCATCCATGGGAAAATCCACTAATCTCATGGGACACTCTGCACTTATTGTAAGCCTATAATGGAACAAATTAAATAGTCTCTGGTTGCCATTTTGTCTAGGCAGTACAACTTTTGCATACAGTAATTGTAAGAAGTCAAACAAACACATTAGATACCTCATTGTGTACAGGATGGTGCCATTTCTCATTATTCTGAAGAGTTTATTAGGGGCTGTCATATTATGAGCAACAGACTTTTTTCCATTCCTGAAGAAAGTATCAGGAGTCCATACCTTCGAAACCATCAAGTTGTTAAGTCTTAAAATTTCAATAGGGCCATCATATTTTAATCTTTTATCTACCCATGTCTGACGAAAGAAGACATCCATTGTATATTCCTGTATTAAATTGCAGAAAAACAAAGATCACATTTGCGTACGTGTTTCCTGTAAAAGAAGAAATCCCTCAGGAGCAAAGAAATCATTAGAAAAGAAAATCCTAAGTCCACTACAAAAACATCTTTCCACCAATTAAAGTGTCTTGTGTACTTCTTAGTAGCTTAATTTCTTACATTAGTCATATCAATAAACTGCTACACATTTAATCATTAAGGGATAATTAACCTAATTAGGTTGCAGGAAGCAAGCAACTGAATTTGAAGTCAAGCATATAACTGGAAACAAAATTATTTCTAACAAGAATTGTCAACAGATTTTTAAAGAAAATATATCCATAGGTTGGCTGCTTCTGGCTAAATTGAAAATACCAGGACAAATGATTAGTTCCACTTCAAAGTTAGGAAAGAAAACCTAACATCATTTCATGGAAAGTAAGCTTTTAACTGAGGAAAGCTAAGTAAGTCTTTTGCCATGCCCATAAAACAGGGATCACAAATTATATAGAGATTTGCATATATATCTACATTTTTTTAAGAGTATGTAAATATCCCATTAACTCCTCAGAAAAGCCACTCAGATGCTCTAAAGAAAACATGCAACAAACTGCAGAACTACAGACATAAGCACATAATGAGAAATCACGTGTGAATGAATGGATGAAAGAATGCATTTCTCATCTTGAGAAGCCTAAGTATTTCACATAAAAAGCTATCATGGAAGGTCACATGGAAGGCTTTAAGTCCTTAAACTAAAGGATGTCCTTAAGCTAAACAATGTTTTCTGGCTTGATTTCAAATTCTTCTACAAAATGTTTCTATTGAAATTACTTGTAAGCCTACATCTATTTGTATTGGCAAGTAGGCAGGTCTACTAATGTAATGCATCTTGGATTATACGTGTTCTTTTCCATGACTGTATCCTCCACTGTGATTTATAGTTAATCCATGAAAAGTGTCTCCTCTAGTGTCAATTAATGGCCCATAAGTACCTGTTTCTGTTATTAGCTTCTACCTGACAGATTTTGTAATATAAGATTTCAACCATTTTCATTAAAAAATTAAAATGGGTACAAAAGCAACTAAAAAGACATTCTGATCATCCCCTGTACTGAAACTATAGCACACGTCACTGTTGCAGCAAGTTTTATGAGTGCAGCCACATTAAAATTACATCAGGTCGCTAATGGATGTATTAACTAAAGAGTATTCCAGAAACAATTCCTGCATCGCTAAATAGCCTCCTAAATCATCCCTAATGAAGAAAGGGGAAATATCGGCTGTAAATTATCCTTTTGCAAGTTCCTCACCCATCTTCAGTCCATGTTCTGACTTCTGCCTAGATATATGCTCCAATATAATAACTAATAACTTCCCATGAAAATGAAACCTGAGAGATGCCATGCAGCCCTCACTATAAATTTGAGGCACATATTACTAGATTTCCTTGGGACCACATTCTTGTGCCCCTTGTCCCTCTGATAAGCATATCCTGCACATGCTAACCTAGGAATGGGTAAGAGGCATTTCAACATGAGACTGCTGTCAAGACTGTAGCTCTTGAAAAAATATCTTGCTATCACATACCTTTCCACATAACAGAATTAAGTCAGGTGCAACACGAAGTGAACAACAGCACTATATGGGAAGAAAATTACTACCCTGAAATTGCATTTTCCATGAAGAAGTTCAGCACACATGGCTGTGTTATTTCCATGGGATTTCTTGAGTGTGTTATAAAAAGATCAACTGCTGTATGATTTAAGGGCATATCACTGTATTTTAGAAGTTGATGAGAGTTTTGCTGGATTTGACCTTGAAAGCAAAAGCCATTCAGGAACAAATACCAGAACATGCAAATGTAATATTTCTCCTCTGTTACTATTTCATGCATGTCACCTGGACATTTAATTTCTGCATATACTTATGAAAACTATTATCAGACAAACATTTGCTGAAAGCAATGCTTAAAGGAGAACAAAGATCAGCAAAGGGCATTCATCAGAAATGAAAATGTCAGCAAGCATTTTTGAAGTGATGTCATTATTCTTCACCTGAGAATAACACAAGTTTCAGAAACAAAAAGCAATTTCAAAAATATTACACATTTTCCCCACAGTAGACTTACTTATACACTCCCTGCAAGGCTGGATTCTGCCTCTGTGACATGAAAATCTGTTTTAAATCCTATGAAGTGAATTTCTTAAGCCAGCCAAAACCCACTGAAACTGTGACCAGAATCAGGCCTTATGTATCTAATTATAACCTGTAAATTAAGCTGTTACTAAGCTTGCCTAATTTGCATGATTGACAGAACAGTACAGATGAAGCAACCACTCCTACTGCAGTTAATCGTTTCTCAGAACCAGGAAATGGCATTTTAACCCCAGAAATACATACCATTTCTACATCAGAAACAGGTCCAAAACTGGTGACATATATATCTGTTTTGACTTCAGTAACAGGACCTAATATATGAAAAGGAAGTGAGCAAGAAAATTTGAATTTTGCAGGTCAACAATTCCCATAAATGATCCTGGTGTGTGAACAGTTACCGCTTTCAGGGTTCTGTGGATAAGCAAGAGCAAAATGCAAACAGAGGTCAATTCAGGTAAGTCTCAAGTAACATGCACTGCTCAATTACCTTTACCACATAAGTAAATCAAAAGCAGCATTTCCATGCAAATCCCCATTCAGAAAACCAATGTTGACTTAAGGGCTAAGAAAACTGATGCCAAAAAATTAAAAGGCTCACTAAAAACGCCATTTTACTTTACAACAAGCACTGAATCCTGGAAATCCATATTCCTCAAAGCATTTATTACTAATATTTGGACCTACTCGTAAAAAATCTGGACTACAGACATTAGCATGCCATGTACTGAGCAATTTAGTATTGCAGCATCAGGAACTGCATCTATTTCCTGAGACATACTTAAGTGCTTTAATACTAATATCCAAAATAAAAGTTGGAGGTCTAAGTACCTTTGAGGGTTTGAACCAAGATCCACATTCTGCTACTATGTCTGTCTTGAAAGAGCCAATGATACTTAGGACACTGTCAAAAACAGTGCATTGAACAGAGGTTTTGCACTCTCACAGCTGCCTACGGCAAATCAACCACCAGAGAAAGCAGTTTCATTTTAATGTATTATTGCTTTTACTACCTTGAAATCTTAAATGGGCATTTGCCCTTCAGTGCATTTCCCCTTAAAGCAAAGAAAACACACACTAATTTCACTGGGATTTAGGTCTCTTCCCAATGTAATAGTCTAGAAAGCTGCTAATTATCAGCCGTTATGATGGTTTTGTGATCAAAGCATTAGCTAACAGTTTAATTCAGGTAGTTAAATCACATTGTAAGTTTAAAAAAGAAATCTACTGAAGATCTTGTAAACAGTTTCTTTATGAAAAAAATGTGCATGATCTACAAATTCACAACCAGCTTCTAAACTCAAATTACTAAAAAGGATAAGTGCCTCAAGTCTGATGATTCAGGTTTTATCATAATATTTGAACTCTAAAAATGAAAGGAGAAAAGACTCAACAGAGTTAGCAGCAGAAGAATATGTCCCACTTGAAAAGAAAAAAAAATTAAAAAATCAGTCTTCACAGATGTCACTTTGAATCAAATGGTAAAAGATAAAAAAAGAAGTAAGCAATGGGAAAATAGGGAAATTTAAGTTCTTGCACTTAGAACAAGTCTCAAGCTGTGAACAAAAAGGAAAAGAAAACCATGTAAAATTGTTTTACTACAGAATTTGCCTATTATTTAGAGGAAAAAAGCAAGAATGTTTCATCTAAGTGTCAAAAAGATTACTTTGCTGGAAGCTAATTTTCACAGAAGGGCATTTTTTCAAAATAAATCTAAATAAATTCCACTGTACAACAGTTGGTAGCTCAGAGGTCCCTGGAAACTTGTGTAGTTTGGCATGTCTGTCTCAAAGAGGTTTTTAAGAAGCAACCGCCAAGTTCCAGTTTCATACCATGCCATTTGTTTTGCAGTAAGTTGGTCCCTAAACATGGAAGCTGCTCTCTTTTCTACAATTACCAAGGCATTCATGAGTCAGGGAAATCCACAAGTGTTTAGATCACTCATTTTACTAACATAGTCCAATGACATTTCCTGAATATATTGATTTCTGGAGAGCAGAAGCGCTCTAAGAGATTAGAAGTTAAGACATTTATCTGCAGTGCTAGAAAACAGGAGAGGAAAGCCCAGACATACTTGCATGTAGAAAAAGAAGAGATTCAATTACCACTGATCTCCCATAAGCACACTATTAAAATTTATCCAGGGTTGACTTAAATACATAAATATTTATTTTATTTGATCTTGAAATATTTCTGCAATCAGTTCTACAGAAGTGAAAAATTCATTTTCCCACATAGCTTTAATAAGAAAATACAAGAATTAGTCTTTGTTACTTAATAATAAAATACTGAATACTGAACTCGGTTCCTGAAAGAATCTCTTTCAGGAACTGAGCTCAATATTCAGTAATCCAGTTCTACTGAGTAACAGAGACAAGTGCCTGAATTCCTTTCAAGAACTGCTTTACCTGTTAGTTATAAGAAACTAAATAGGAATAGCCCTTAAATAAACTCCAGACCTTTATGTGTTTTTCCTTTGATGGTATACTCTTTTCTTTAGCTCACAGAACACTGTAATTTTACAATCATACCAAATGAGCAATTGGACAGATTTTTCTATAGACATGAGCTGCTTTTCCTCAAACATTGATTTTTTTTTTTTTTTTTTTTTTATTAAATGACTAAAGCTTCATGGGCAATAGGCATTGAAATTCTTTTGCAACTTTGTTTTTTGGAGTTTCTCAGAAAGAAGGGGAAAGCTAAGATCAAGAAGCTAATCTCCAAATCAGCAAGCCTATGACCTAATGCTATTAGAAACATTATAGCAGCAGCACAAGATTAAAACTGTGTTTGGGTTCACTCTTCAGTAACTGCTATTCTGCTCTCAAATATTTATTAGTATGACCCATGAGAAAGAAGGAAGAAGGAATTCTCAGACAATTATGAGGCCACAAAAGTGATCTCATAATACTTCTGGTTGCTTGTCCAACATGATGGCAGAAGAGTGACAAAACAGATGTGAAAATCACATTTTATTCTACTAGCAAATGGCAGATGAATGCGGGTCTAGAGGTACTTTAAACATCATAACAGTTATCCAGCTAGTACAGACATACAAATCCTTGATTTGCAGCCAAAACCTTGGTCAAACAGTTCAGTGTCTGGTAGGAGCAAAGACGGTGAAGCTGATTATCCCCTTAATGCTTTCTCTCCAATTGCAGCCCTTTCATGCTCCATGTCTTCTACCTACACTGGCCTTAACAGTTGTGAAATGACAAATCTTGGATTTTCTAGCACATCCCAGTACTTAATGCCAACCCAGGAGTATCTATGGTGACACCAATACTTATCTCTTATTCTTCTTGTTCTAGAAGAAAACATAGTTGGTAACAATAGTGGGGGTATAAATAGTGAGTCATGCTGCTGCTTCTTTTTTAAACTATTATTAATCGTGGGAATTCCTGTCAACGAGGAGGTGATCTGCAGTCACCTAACCTACTTTTACTGGTGATTTAAGCAGCCCTCCAAAACGAATGTGTTGCACCACTTAATCAACTCAGGCTCTGCAAGCAGAAGATCCTATTAGAATCCTTAACGCTCTATTACTGGCAGTAAAATGCAGTGAGTTGTAATAAGGCCAATTAACTTTAAATATGACCATTTGGGCTTACCCCTCAATGCATCTTCACAAAGTATCTATCTACCATAAATCTTCAGGAATGCTGAAGAACTATTTATATCTTACTTGTGTGTATTTTTATGTCAATGAAATAGGAGGAGAGTCCTACACACTGCAGTGGGAACAGTTACGTCTGAATCACTGCTTGCAAGATAATATACTTTAAGGAAGCTCAGGCAGGATTAAAAGCAGCCCCTGCAAAAAGCCAGAATAGTTCGGTGTTATAGATGTTACATGTGGGCTGAAAAAGTGATGCCAGGCCCTAACCCTGGGAAGAGGAATGCAAGAGAGCTCTCCCAAGCATTTTATGTCAACATATGGATTGAACGGCAGCACAGCTCCCAGTGAAAGACTTTGGGCTCCATTATCCCTGCGTCTCCATAGGCAACTGTCACTGCAGAGATCCCTGCTGTATGTAAACACTCAAATCCTGCACAAGCTTTCTGTATATTGCAAATTTTGCCATCAAGGGTCCCATAATCGGAAATATTAAAAAACAAGTCTGTGCAAAGGTTTCATCATACCAAGTGCAGTTATGCTGTGCAGTTATCGGTGCCATTATGAGATCAATCTCAGGATATATAAACCACATAAAATCACATTACATCAGTTCCTACAGCTACATCAAAAAAAAAAAAAAAAAAAAAGTAGTTTCTGCAGATTTTTTTAAAATATAACTACTTGTGAAAGATTTGGTGTTTTCTCTTTCCAAATTCTTGCTGCCTGAATAGGGATGACATTTTTAAAGTGAGGAAAAAAAAAGAAAAAAAAAAACCATCATATGAAATATGTTCTCTTGTTTCATTCTATCAGAAAGAACAGCTAAGGTCACCAACTATATGTAAGAATTCTGCTCAAAGCCAGAACTAGGTAGGGCATTTTTTAAAAATTAATACAGAATTCAAACACATGGGCTACATTCTCTACTAAAAGATGATACAACAAACACAGCAGCACACAATAACCTTTGTCTCTATGTATGTTCATCCACCAGCATGTCTGAACCTGCAAAGGGAAAAGTATACCTCAGAACTGAGGAGATTATTGTTTCTTTGCCTATTTATCAGCAAAACAACTCTGCTGAGACAGCCAATGGGCCTCATACTGGTGCCAGTTTTCATGATGTGGACACCTGTCTACTAAGAACTGGACTAAGAATATCAGCTAATTTTACACAGATCACTGAACAACAGACAGATGGTAATGACTTCAAGCATTACTAACTGAGGCCAAACTCAAATCTGTCACCTACAGGTATCTACCACCATATCCTGTTAAGCTTTGAGTCATCAACTTTCACCAGCTGAGAAAGAATGGACAACTGCCTGAAAAAAAAAAATGACCCACTTCCCTTTTCAATGCTCACTTCAAGTCCACTTGCAATCTAAATAGTAAAAAAATAGTTTAAAAAATTATAACATCTATTATGCTGAGCAATGGAACCTTGAAGGTACGCTTGAGTTCCTAGTAAGAGCAAATAATCATGCAGATATTTTTATTTTCTCTAAAAACAGAAAATTGCCTTTGCACTTCAAATGTATTCTGTGTTTATTTTCTGACTAAAGTCCTGCATAGACAGGAAATGAAACTCTTCAGAAATGCTGTTCATCAGCTGAACAAAACACAGACTAAAGGGGCACAGAATCCTTCTCCTACCCTTCCTAGGGGAGACAATGGCCAATATATTTAATTCTATAAAGTACTCAGCTGCACTTCCACAATTACAAGAGCATGAGAAAGAACACAAAAGGACAAAGAAAAGAAAAAGGGAAATGGATGAACACAGCCCTATTCCTTCTATTCAGGAGTCAACAGCGGATGTGGCAATTTCCAAAGAGAAAGCCACAGAGCTAACATGAGTAGTTGATAGTGAGATTCAAAACTTATACCAGTTTCTCCCTCACACAAATGAACAGAACTCAGGAAGGGAGAGGGCTCCAGATTTCACCAACTGATGGGCAACCACACCACAACGTGTCAGCAACAGGCTGTGGGCAATGCCGCAGCTTGCGGCCAGCGGGTTTCACAGCCAACCTGAGAGCCTTGGGCAGGAGGCAAGTCACACGCCACCTTTTTTTCTTTGGTCTGGCCATATAATTGGCCATTTAAAGCAAGATGCCAGAGATCAGATGTTGTCTGAAAGGCACAATTCATTAAAATTAGCAGATACGTGGCAGCACAGAGTCTTGTCACCCTCATCAGCTTCAGTCTTCTTATTCCTTCCTACATCCCTAAGTCCAGGTTTAAGTGTGATTAGTTACTGTATCATGAACATTTCAAGGACGCCATTACATTTTTTTAACTTACCATCCAATACAGGTTTGAATCAGTTCTTGCAGGCCCTTGCTATTATCAAGAGTAGCTCAAGTAAACTCCAAAACCATGCAAGGGTTTAAAATGGCAAATCAGACCCAGGCCTTTTACCTCAAGTGAATAATGCTCCTTTCAAAGGCTTTGGATTTCTACTGTGACTTTGAAACTAATGACCAGAAAAGTAATAAGTAATAATTTTCAGAGAAAATACAGCTTGTGTAACTTTCATGTAATACACAAAATTTTAAAAGCAGATGAAAACTGAAGACAGGGTTTAGCTAGAAATGCTTCTACTTCAAACTTTTAGGACTCAATCAAAATAGTACTCTGGTAGGACTCTCAAAGTTTTCCAGCAGATGATGATTTTAATTAATGACACTACAAGCAGATTCTGTAAAAACTGTTTTTATAGAGTGGTTTTGACCAGGAAACCTACTTGGATTATAAATTGTATGCTGAAATTCAGGATAATGATCTAACAGAGCATACAGTGTAGGGAATGAACTAACTTCACTTCCATCACACTATTTTCAAACATCATACAGCATTACTTTACTCATTAGTCCCTAAATACCTTCCATCTACTCAAATTCAAAACTCTTATGCATTTAAAGTCTTCCTGACAGCAGTTGCAGGTTTTTTTTTTCTTTCCTACATGAAACTGCCTATTCTGCTTTATTTAATTCAATTTCTAGGTGACATTTCTTCGCTTCTCTCTTTAGATTCTCCGCATGCCTCAACTTAATGGGAACTTTCACTTAAATGATCTTCACTAACTGTTTTGATAAACCCTTCTGGTTTTGTTTTTCATACTACCAAACCTTACAGCACCTAGTAAGGTGACAGCAACTTTTTAAGTTCATTAAATTAATTTAATAAAGGGAACTTATAATGCAAGGTGTCAATGCGTAAGTACCACCAAGAGAAGCTTCCACATATTCCACTGGGGTTCACAACTCTCCCAGGAGACCACATCCACATTTGTAAGCATGCTGAGGCAATTTAACTTCTCCTCCATAACTACCAAAAATTGTGAAAATTAATGATAGTATGGAGAATATTGATCCAGTTGGAGGAATTTTCCAAAACCAAACATTTTCTACTTTGCTCTGCATGTATTTTTATTTGTGGTAATGCTGTAACATGCCAGCAAAATTCAGAATTTGGCTACCTCCCCGAGTCTGATTTTAAACATAATTTGTGCCAGAATTAGAAATATTTTCATCAATTTGAAGTTTAAAATGAGCATCAGTTAGTCCTCTCTGAGGCCTTTTGTTCTTAAAATAAAGCCTTCATTTTATTTCAGGCCCTGTGAAAACTAGATGGTGAATAAGCTTCAAGAAGAAAACAAAAATAAGTATTCTGCTGTTCATCAGAAAGTGATGTAGCTTTAACATTACTAAAACACACTATACTTTCCATCTCTAAATATTACCATCCCCTCAGACATTATGTTTCCAATGGTATAAACTAGTGAGTGACCCACTTTCAAGCTAGAAATCCCAATTCTGATAAAGATTTATCAGAAAAAAGCCCCAAAATATAGGTAAAAGTTGATTTTTATATTCTCTATTTCAATAAATAGTCTGTAGTTATTACTCTGAGCAATGTCAAAAACCTGATCAATTACAGAAATTTCTTTGGTTGGTTTTGTTGTTTAATTTTTTTAAATCCAAAATTGTTCTTCTCAAATCAAGTGTAGATAATTTTCACTGTAAAGAGCTAGGGAGGAGGCAAGCATAATTTTAAAATCCAAAGCATTTTCCCCCATGTTTTATTTAAAAGTTCAAAACTCAAAGATGAGTGGTTAAATGTCAACCATAGAAATGGTTATGAGGAAGGAAGAAGAAAAATAATATCAATTTTGTGAAATATTGACCCAGAGATATTTTCACCAGGCTGAAATCTGAGTTTTTTCCTCCCTCTCTCCCTTACTTCAATATCGCCAATGTGAAAGTTCAAGAAGACACAATGAACTTCTTCTCCTTGATTGCATTTTGCTGAAAGTCTGCCACGCTTACAGGGGAAAAATACCTACTCTTGCAAAACATCCTGCAAGGGACAATAGTATTAAAATAAAAATCACCATATATTATATATTTAGTAGATGTTTAATTTTGGAAATCTGATAATGCTCATAAAGCATCTTTGCTAGATGACTAATTAGTTGGCATTCAACCTAAAATGATGCCAAACTTAGCACATCTCTTGTACGCGTGCAGAAGTGTCTGTAACCTCTCCACAAAGACTAAATCGCAAAAGACTATCAGTTCCAAATGACTCCTCCGGGTGTTAATAAATTTAGCTTCCTTCTCACTTAATGTGTAAACTAACTTAAGAAGGCCTCATTTATTCCACACACTCAAAATAATGAGTGGTCCATGGATGCCAGGTGCTGTCCTTTAACAATCATGATCATGCAGGTGAAAGCACTGCATATGGCATGTGGGGAATGTGCTGGCATACATGTCAGTGTGGATGGATCACATGTATGGAGAAGGTACTTTCAGAGGAGGAAGAAAGTATTTTGCAACATAAACCTACGCAAGGATCTCATTCAATCCTGTATTGGAAGCAGCCTATAAAAACCTTGCTACAGCTTTGAGCATCATAAAAAGGTCTATAGCATTTATTTATAAACATTTTTATATTTTTTTTACTTTCAAATTTGCATTTTTAATATCTTCATTTCAGATTACAAAATAAACTTTTATTTTGCCTGGATCTTAATGATTTTTTGTTCCAAGTCCCTACACAAAAACATTAAAATCAAAGAGAACAGCAAGCTTGGCTACTTCTTCAGCATCACAAAACTGCATCTTAACAGCCTGGGGAAAGGAAGAGGCCCAAAACCCCCACACACAGAACACAGGTGAAGGCACATTTGAAACCCCACCATGTCTGATTCCTATACAGCAATTAACTACTACTTCTAAATCAAAGCTGGAATTTCAGCAACTGTGGCGAAGAACTGGCACTTGGGCTCTAATTTTCTCTAACTAGGGGAACAGAATCCATCAGACCCAATCTCCTAGGCTGGTTAAAGTACACTTTTTTCTAATAGGACCCGATCGCGGCATTCACGGGTCAAAACCTGCTAAGAATGAGAAGAATCTGGGTGTTAGACAGGTCACTCCGTCCGCACCAAGCCAACGCACACCGGCTTCAGTGCTTATTTTTCCCCCAGCGCAGCAGCAGCAGCCCGAGCCCGGGATGTGGGCAGAGCAGCAAAGCGGGGGCTGAGCCCGGGACCGCCCCAGCGGGGCCCCCACGGCCGGGACTGCGCAGCACCCCCGGGCTCCCGGGCCAGCCGCTGCCTCGCTCCGGCCCCTCCCGGAGAGTTCGGACCCCGGAGCACGGAGTGGGGACGCACTCCTACGTTTTCGGACAGGAGCAGGTCGGTCCGAGCGGTGAGCGCTGCCTCCCCCGCCCCAGCCCAGCGACCCCCCGCCCGTCGCCGGCACCGCGCCGCCACCGTACCCCCAAATCCCGGTCGCAGCCGGTTGTCATAGCCATCCAGGAGGCTGTTCAGGATGCTGGTAAAATTCTCCGGCCACAATTTCTCCTCTTTTTTGATCTGCCCTGGCGGCCCGGTGAGACTGCGAGGCAAAGAGGGAGCGGGTGAGCGGAGCCGCCGGGAGCCCGCGGCGAGCAGCGGCACCGGACCGGCCGCCCGGGTCCCCCGGCGCCGCCGCCGGGCTACTCACCAGGTCGCCAGGCACAGGCAGTGCAGGAGGGCGATGGAGAGACCCGAGGACATGGCGATGGCTGGCTCCTTGGCAGAAACCATCTTTGCATGCCATACTTCACGCCTGGGCACGTTAAACGCCTTGTCCGGGGCGGGGAGGGGGACGCGGGGCCCGGCGGGGCGGCGGCGGCCCCCGGCGGTCCCACATGCGCGGCGCCCCGGTTGCCAAGCGCCCGGCACGGGCGGAGGAGCGGCGAGCGAGTTTCCCCGCACCGTTAACTCTCTCGGGGCAACAGGCGCCGGTCCCGCCGCTCCCCCCGCCCCCGCCCCGCCCCGCCCGCGGCCCCGCGCTCCGCCCCGCGCTCCCCTCCCGGCCCGGCCGCGGCCGCGCCGCCGCCGGTGGCGGTGCGGAGGTGGGGCGGCGGTGCGGGGAGGGACGCCGGGGGCGTCGCGGGGGTGACGGCGGTGGCGGAGCCTTCGCTCGTCCCGATCGCCTCTGCGCCCCGCGAGGGGAACAAAACCCAGAGCGTGGGCGGGCGGGGGCTCTTAATTCCCCAGCGAGGAGGGCTTGGGAGCAGGAGGGTCTCTCCGCTCCCGTAGGAGAGGAGCTGGCAGGAGAGAGATAGGAAGAGGAGGTGAAGGAAAGCTTTGACTTCAAGGTTAAAACAGTGCGCGCCCAAAACAGATGGGAGCGAGTGGGTTATCCCAGGTTTCTAAAATCAAAAAATGCCAGCATAAGGGAATCGTTTCACATTATATCTGGTGGGTTTTTTCTTTTTTCTTTTCTTATCATTCCTATAATTAGGAAACATGATTTGGTGACCCAAAAACATTCCATTATGCAAGGTCCAAGGGATTCTGAAGAATTACAGTAAAAGCCACTCAGAAGTGTTGTTAGTCTGTCACAAGCTATCGGGATGGCTGGGTGGAGGGGGAAGACTGAGGGAAAGGAAGAGAGTGGGGGTGTTCCACACACAGTAAGTATTGGCAATAAACAACTTGTTCTTCTGATCAAGTGTGCTGCAGAGACAATCGTTGAGGTTTGAAAATCAGTGTGCATGTCAATTTTAATGAGGGTGGTGAAATTCATCGTCCACATAGGGCAGATATTGTAATTGACTCAAAAACTACAGTATTGTCAATGCCGACAGTAAAAAGTCTTCATTACTTACTACAGTATCTTTTAGCACTGAAATGCCTGATTATCTTCAAAACCACTGTACACTTGAAATCTTCCTGATTGTACTTCAGAGCTTGCTCCAGCTAGGGTGCCCTTTGCTGATTCGTTTAAAAAACAATTAAAGCTGTGCTTGAAATCCATTTAGCCTGCTGATGCTGTTTATCTTTCAAAAAACTCTGTCTAGGCAGTCAGTTCTGCTTCCAATTTTAAAAGCCCTATTTAGGCCTCTGCAGATCACTAGTCTGCTTCCTGAGATTTTGACAAGGATCCTTATCTTCTGACTGCTTTATAAGATCCTGATCTGACTGCCTTAGTGGAATGACAAATGTGCTGCCAAAACGTCACTGAGTGGGGCAGCCTGTCTATGGATGGCATGCACGCTCTGTGCAGTATTTACAAATCTGGACAACACAGACGGTAGGATGTCACAACAAGGTCACTTCAGCTCTTGTGATGAGGCTCTGTTTAACTCCACACACAGGTGAAAACCAGCACAACAGAGTCCACTGCTCTGTCTCCATTAGCAGTCTGATCAGGGACAACAGAAGGATGGATGCACAGCTCTTCAGAAGTCTAATTTCACCAGAGTCAGATAAATTTCTCTGGGTTAATCAGTCACTTGGGATCTTCTGTAAAGTGCTGTGATTTGTTTATCTGGATCAATCTTCTGCCTTAACATGGACTGTGCCAGGGGGATACTGAGAACTCACCTCCAGTCAAGAGAGTGTCAAGTTTTTCTCCCTTGAAATAAAAAGTAGACCCTTACTACAGAATATTGAAAATATTTCCCAGTGAGAGTATGTTATACAGGGATACCTCAGTTAAATTTTGCTGACAGAAGTGAAACTCAAAAAATGAAAGTGAGGGCAATAGAGGGTATTTGAGAACTGGGCAAAATCCTGCTGGCTAGTCACAGACTCGGTGCAATATATGGCTCTATGGCACTGTCACTTACTGCAGCTGCTGAGGAAGAAAACAAACACCCAGACAGAGCTAGGGACACCCTTTAGATTGTTTTAATACCTTCTGGATATGTATAGACACCTGTGTGAGCTGAAACAGAAAAGTCGAGTGGTATTCACCAGTAATGATCTCACCACATGAACATCATGGGAAATGCTATCACACAACCCCCTCTCAAATCCATGCCTGGAGTCAGTAGTTCTGCTACAGCTAGAAATCAAAGAAATTTCATCAATTCTAGGAACTGAGCTGGTCTTTCAATGATTTCCAAGTTCTTCAGAACAAAGAACAATATTATTGATACCTTTTGTCTCTTCAGTACAGGTACTTCAGTGAGGTAACTGAAGTAACATTCAGTTAAAGATTTGTGGACATGCCATGAAATGACAAGAAATACTCATGACTTCTAAAATGGTGCCCATGTTGTTTTCTCTAAGAAAATGTAGACACAGTGCCCTCCTGTCACACCAAGCCTGCCTCGGGTTATATTGATGCAGTATCTGGGTGCCACATGAGTGCATTTACTCCCTACAAGTGCTAAAACAAAATGAAAATTAACTTTCTCTAAACCTAGAAAATTAATTCTAACACATCTGAAATTTATGAGTTGCTAATATCTCCCTTAAATCCAGGCATGATTATCAAGAAATACATAAGATTAATACCAAAACCAGACGGTTGTCACTGATATATGAAAAACTGTATCATTTTGACATCAACTGTATCATCAGATTGATGAAGCATTTACAAAACTAGACTTGAAGGAAACTTAAAGCAGTTCAAAATAACAGTAAACAGACCTGTAAGCCACATAGCCCCTCTGAGTATTTATTGCCTCTGATACATGCATTGCCCTGCTAAATTTTGATGTTTTCTGAATTACAACTTAAGAGCTATTCTAGGGGCTTTTTTGGTAATGTACTTGTAGCATAGACACACAGAAACTCCAGAGGTTCTTCTTCATCACCAGCAGATGTATGCTGTTTTGAAAAGTACTGCTTCAAATGGTCTTTGATCTCTTCACAGTATATCTGGGTTATATCATCTCTCTAAAATAACTTGATGACTCCAAGAAGGATTTAGTAGTCACAGGCTGAATTGATGGTCACCAAAAGTGTTTGCTGGATTCAGCATTTACCCAGATTCTCCAGCTTTTACCACCAATTCTTCCAAGATTTCTCTGAAGAAATCTCACCCATCGGGAACTATTGTAAGAAGGGGACTATTTTTGCCAGGCTCCATATGCTCAGAAAGCACTTGAATTTTTTAAATAGATTTTTTTTTTTTTTGTCCCTCTACTGATTTATCCTACTAATGATTTTTGATGAAACAGACATTCTAGCCAAGCCTCAAAAACAGGTTTATCCAAAGCTATTGATCTTAAGTATAGTTTAATCATTTTTTATTTGTTACAACACAGAGAAGCAGATTTTCTCATCACTCTTCCCATTTCTACTTTACCATCAGATTAAATGGAAAGAATAAGGAAGTCAGTTATTTTCTTTTGCTAGTCATTATCTAACTTTTGCAAGGTTTGTACTTTTGATTTTGCTTCCCTCCCCCCACTTTGTAAGCCATAGGTTCTATCAATACTACAGTTATATAGGTTATATAGGTAAATCATAGGTTCCATCCTTTCCCCCAGTAGATTTAATTATTCAGCTGATTTTTACCTGATTTAGTTTTGGTATCAAATCCATGAAGACAGACAAGCTAAGATTAAAAAGGCTGTGAAAATCTTTAATGCCCAGCTATATGTTGCATAGCTAAAAACCTCTAACTCTTAGAAAAGATAAAACGGATCACAGCCAAGTATCTCAATGTTTCTTTATCTAAATAGGTAAGTCATTGATTTCTTGGGTTTTTAAGTTTCTATCCATATCAGTAGAGTTTCTTACAGTCTTGAATAAGCAACTTCTCTTCACATATAGCCTTTTTAAAAATCAGGGTTTGAGTATCCATTCTTTGGAAAATGCATATCCTGATCTTTTTGGCAAATGCCCAAGAAAAGACATGGAGACCTTTACTGTACTAACTAAAGTATCTTTCATTCCCTTCTTCTCCGACATCCACACTGATTAAAGAGATCATGGAAACCTACATGTCTTGGCTTTATCAAAACTTTGATATGGAGTTCAGGGAAGGTCTGTATTACCTGTTCAGCAAAGAGTTTTCAATCAGGGGGGATACCAGGACACTGTGGGCCTTGACTGCACCTCTACTGATGTAGTTATGTTTAAGGAATGTAGATTTTGGGTCTATTGATTGAAACTTAAGTTCTGCTCCAGGAACAGTAAGATAGATGAATAATCTCTTTCTGGCTCTTCTCCCAGTTCCAGCTTTCCCTGTAGTTCCCTTTCCTGATGTAGTTCTAGAAGTTTTGTTTCCAGGTTCCTATTTCAGTCTCTGATCACAAAGTTTTTACCTATGCAGTTATCTCTCTAAAGAATTTACAGTCTAGATAAACAAGACTGAGTAAGGACTGGATACAAGAAAGTACTGTTATTTCTGTTTTGCTGGAAATAAAGATACAAAAAGCTTAAGTGGCTATGCAACACAATGTATGAAATGTAACTGCTTTCAATATAAGAAATTTGCAGCAGAACAGAAGCTTAATTATAGTCTGCTGAGCCCAGGTCAGTTTTCTTGTCTTTTCAGAGCACAGCATAAGCTCTATGTAAAACTGAACCTCCAGCTGGTCCAGCTTTGCTTCACTTCCATGGCCAGAACTCCTACGAAACTGCAGGAGCTGATGCCGACATGCATTTAGCTGTGTATTTTTTCCTCTGACATATGGTATTTACAAGACTGCTCTACAGCACCATGGTTATTTTAACACATATGTATTTGATTGCTTGGAATAAGCCTAGAAAATCCTTTGAGAACCAAATATATACATATACATACATACATATATATATATATATACACACACACATGCATATATTGCTATTAATGATTGCAAGAAGATTTATATGGATTATAGTGATTGACACATGGATGTTTAAGGAGGTAAACTGTGAGCTTCATATTTAAGGGGACCTCTACTCTACACACTGCAATGCAAATGTGTTTGTGGAAGCATTCACTGAAGGAACTGCAATTTGGGGCAAAAAGTGTTGTCACCAAGAAAGCACTAAAG